TCGTCCAAACCCTGGACGACATCCTGGGAGGGGGGAACTGGCTCCAGGGATAGGCTGAACTACTGCTCCTGCTCCTCCCCAGCCGCAGGCCCACCCTCCAGGAGAGTGACAATAAGCGTCTCCAGCCCAGAGTCCACAACAAGGGGGGAAAGGCCTGACCCCTCTCCCAGGATGCAGTGGGGCTGGTCGAAGTAGGGGCAGGTCTGGGGTGCTGCCCCTGAGTGGGAGCTGTGCTCCCTGACTGTGGTGTAGGCCTGCGGGAGGTTTTTACTTCCATGCGCACCTGCTCCTGGGTGTGTGTGTCCCCTCTGGCCCAGACCATAGACATCGGCGTTCCTGCGCCTGGTGCAGAGAGAGAAGCAGTCGAAGAGCAGGATGCAGTGCCTAAGAGAAGTAGTTCCATTCATTCGGCGTATGATGAGACTTCTGCAGAAGTCAGGGTACACCAGCAGAAAAAATGTTATGCAAGAAGGCAGGGAAAAGAAACATTGGTAAAATGAGCAGCTCTCCATCTTGGGATATGTTCTCTAGCTCACTCCTCTCTCCCTGGCTGTGTCTGGACTGGCCAGTTTTTCCGGAAAATCAGCCGCTTTTCCGGAAAAACTTGCCCGCTGTCTACACTGGCCGCTTGAATTCCCGCAAAAGCACTGTCGATGTTAAACTATAGTATGCCCACATCTTGAATATTGTATGCAGATGTGGTCTCCTCACCTCAAAAAAGATATATGGGCATTAGAAAAGGTTCAGAAAAGAGCAACTAAAATGATTAGGGGTTTGGAATAGGTTCCATATGAGGAGAGGCTAAAGAGACTGGGACTTTTCAGTTTAGAAAAGAGGAGACTGAGGGGGGATATGATAGAGGTATATAAAATCATGAGTGGTGTGGAGAGGGTGAATAAAGAAAAGTTGTTTACTTGTTCTCATAATATAAGAACTGGAGGACACCAAATGAAATTAATGGGTAGCAGGTTTAAAACTAATAAAAGAAAGTTCTTCTTTACACAGCGTGTAGTCAACCTGTGGAACTCCTTGCCAGAGGAGGCTGGGAATGCTAGGACTGTAACAGGGTTTTAAAAGAGCTAGATAAATTAATGGAGGTTAAGTCCATTAAAGGCTATTAGCCAGGGGGTAAGGAATGATGCCCCTGGCCTCTGTTTGTCAGAGGCTGGAGAGGGATGGCAGGAGACAAATTGCTTAATCATTGTCTTCGGTCCATCCTCTCTGGGGCACCTGGTGCTGGCCACTGTCTGTTTCCCCTGTGGCTGCAACTTTAAGAGCCGCAGGGGAAGGGGACTATAGAGTTCTGGTGGGAGGGGACAGAGAGGCCACAAGGGCACCCATGAGAAGAAGCCCTGGAGGCCAGTCATTTCAAAATCATCTCAGCATCCACACACACCCTATTTCGAAAGAGGCATAATTCCTCATGAAATGGGTTACCGATTTTGAAATAAGAATCCCGTTATTTCGAAATTATTTCAGAGTAACGTTATTTTGAAGTTATTTCAAAATAACGGGTATGCTGGGTAGCCAGGCTCACCTCGTTATTTTGAAATAACACTGCTGCGTAGATGTGCCTTCAGAGACATTCAGTAGCTGTTCCTTGATTATAAATCTGGGCACCGATGTAGGTGAATTTGTAGGATCTCGAATGGGAGCTCACCAAAAAACGAAAAATACATGTTCATGTGATTTGACTTGTCTTCATCCCATGGCCCGGCACATTGTCTTTCCAGCCTAAGATTAAACATATCATGAAATATTAAGCATTTAAATTAAAGAACCCAACCTGAAAGTTTAAAACTGCATCACATACTGAAGTGTGATACAAATGATAGAACTAAGACAGGCCTTCATGTGTGGAATCTAATTTCCCGATAAGATCCTTTTGCTGACAATGTTATCACAGGCTTCTCTGTAGTCACCACACTAGTGGTTTGATCAGATAGTCAGGAATGTGTTATCAATTAAATAATGGAGCTTTTAGAGGACCGTTCAGCATTGCTTTCGTTCCTCAGCTTTGAGTGCAAGCTAACAGATTTTTTTTGAAATGGGTCATTCATTCAATTCTTCCCAGTTAGACTGGACAAAACATTAAAGACACTGACTCCCAGATAACTGGTTAAGAGCCCTGTTAAATCTCAAAGAACATCTCTGAACTTTGAAAAATGTCTAAAATCCAGAACTGAATTGAACCAAAATCATAGCAAACACTTCAGAACTGAGATGTGAGACTCGTTCCCTGGAGCCCATCATTAATTAAATCCATATTAAAAACAGTTCTCATTTAATGCGTAATTTAATGTCTTGCTATTTCTATTCATGGAGATTTTGAAAAAAAAAAATCAAACAAAACTTAAATACGGTGTCCAATTCATATGACATTATCTCTTTAAGCAATGAGGTCTGCTGGGGTACGTTCAAAGATGAGAGATGTTTGTTTTAATATACAGGCAAGCCTTGCAACAATGCACACGTTCACGCCGCAATTCTTGTGCTTCTCAGAGTGGTCTCATAGCTTTGGTGTGCATCACACTCTGCATTAAGAGATAGCGAACTGCTCACAGTGTCGTCATCAGCTGAATTCTTTATTAGTAAACATTTATCAGGTTATTGCGCTTTGGGAGCCAGAATGAACTACAGGTTGAAGCTCTCTAGTCCAGCACCCTTGGGACCTGACCGGTACCAAGCCAGAGAATTTGTCGAACCATGGGAGGTCAATATTGTCTAGCAGCATTACCAACACTTACACTGCTTACTGGGCTCTTAGAAGACATTAGGGCTACGGCTACATAGGCACCCTTTTCCGAAAATGCTTAAAACGGAACAGTTTTCCGTTATAAGTATTTCCGGAAAAAGCACGTCTACATTGGCAGGATGCTTTTCTGGAAAAGCACTTTTTCCAAAAAAGCATCCGTGCCAATGTAGACGCGCTTTTCCGCAAAAAAAGCCCCGATCGTCATTTTCGCCATCAGGGCTTTTTTGTGGAAAAGACTACTGAGCTGTCTACACTGGCCCTTTTCCGGAACAGTTTTTCCTGAAAAGGACTTTTGCCCAAACGGGAGCAGCATAGTTTTTCTGCAAGAACACTGACAATCTTACATGAGATCGTCAGTGCTTTTGCGGAAATTCCAGCGGCCAGTGTAGACAGCTGGCAAGTTTTTCCAGAAAAGTGGCTTATTTTCCAGAAAAACTGGCCAGTCTAGACACAACCACAGTGCTCTGCATTCACTTCCCATTTTGTATGTGTGAAACTGATTGTTCCTTCCAGTGTAAGCTCCCTTATAAAAATTCTTGAGGTTCTTATTCCATATTATTTTAACCCTGGGTGGGAAAGGAGCAAAGCTGAGCAGTGAGGTAGATCTGGGAGCACAAGGCGGTGACAGGTGAGGATAGATACAGTTCGCAGGACGTGTTTATGATAGTTAATATTTATTAACAGAACTATGTAAATTCTTCTCCAAAGCCGCCTCTTTATCTTTCATCTCTCTCTTTAAACCTGATCTGCCACGCTGCCTGCAAATCATTGCCATGTCCCGTAGAATAGAGAGCTGAGACTTCTGCTCTTATGCTAAGCCTGGTTCATTTTGTGTTGTTACCTCATCTTTCCCCCACATGCCTTTCCTGTCGCAGCTTGTCGGCCATCTCAAATGTGAACTCTCCAGGGCGAGAAGTCTCTTCCCTCTCGCTCTCATGGATTTGAAGGCCAGAAGGCACAACTACGATCATCTAGTTTGCTGCATAACACAGGCCAAAGGCATGCACCCGCGTTACTTGTCTGCACAGAGCCTGGTGGAATGGGACCGAACCAATATTCCCTCTAAGGTGCGCAGTGGCACGGCGGCACAGGTGATTAATCAGCCCCACCCAGTCAGAGGGCTCAGGGCTTCATGGGCGGAGCTGATTGATCACCTGTGAAGCTGTCACCTGTGACTCTGTACTGCAGCGCAGCTTAGAGCGAACACTGGAACTAACCTCAGAGGTCTCCACATGCAACCATAATAAGTATTAACAATCATATTAAAAGGGGCTGGAGTTTGTTTTGGGTTTCCCATGTTATGCGTGTTTCCTGTCACGGGAGCAGGACCGAGCACAACTGTTCATGAGGGCGAATGAAAGCCTGAAAGGCAGGATTAGGCTAAACCAACAAAACCAAGTATAGACGTTTCCCATGTATATTTATTATACAAGTTTCATTCTGCTAGTGAAAAAAAGGAAAGGGAATAAAAGTTACCAGAAAACACACCGGCTGTGTCTAGACTGGCAAGTTTTTCCGCAAAATCACCTGATTTTGCGGAAAAACTTGCCAGATGCCTACACTAGACACTTGAATTTCCGCAAGAACACAGACGATCTCATGTAAGGTCGTCAGTGTTCTTGCGGAAATACTATTCTGCTCCCGTTCGGGCAAAAGCCCTCTTGCGCAAATCATTTGCGCAAGAGGGCCAGTGTAGACAGCACAGTACTGTTTTGCGCAAAAAAGCCCGGATGGCGAAAATGGCGATCGGGGCTTTTTTGCGCAAAGGCGTGTCTAGATTGGCACAGACGCTTTTCAGCAAAAAGTGCTTTTGCGGAAAAGCGTCCGTGCCAATCTAGATGCTCTTTTCCGAAAATGCTTTTAACGGAAAACTTAAAAGCATTTGCAGAAAATCATGCCAGTCTAGACGTAGCCGCCCTGTTTGACTTTTCTGAAGACTTGAACACCTTGTTTGTTTTACCCAAGTATCAGAAAGGGTTGTTTAGGATTTCCAAAGGAATTTTGAAACAAAAATATAATTAACCATAGAGCTGCGCCTATTGTAAATTCTTTGTAAATTTGCCCCCTATCCTGCACTTAACTGGCTTAGCAAATTGTTCTGGCAAACAAATGTGTCTGAAATCTAGACGTGTTATAAGCTCTGTTCTGCATATCTGGGTGAGTGGGTATTTGACTAATTTCCATAACAGATTATTATTTTCAAAGTGCTGGTTGCAATGATAAATGCTCCAGAACAATCATAGTGTAAAGCCCCGTCGCCGCTCCGCGGCGTAGCCCCAAGGTTCTCGGTGCTATGTACCCGCACCAGTGCACCTAGTCTTTCTTTTAGACGGCTCTATCTTCGGTTTCCCTCTCCCAGGCAAGACGGGAGGGGAAGGGGGGCCCAGGCCCGCCCACTCTCATGGGCCCCGGCCCCTAAGGGTGCGGGTTCGACTCGACCCGTCCCGGCTGACGGGGTAGGCACCGCGGCGTAGCCCCAAGGTTCTCGGTGCTATGTACCCGCACCAGTGCACCTAGTCTTTCTTTTAGACGGCTCTATCTTCGGTTTCCCTCTCCCAGGCAAGACGGGAGGGGAAGGGGGGCCCAGGCCCGCCCACTCTCATGGGCCCCGGCCCCTAAGGGTGCGGGTTCGACTCGACCCGTCCCGGCTGACGGGGTAGGCACCTGTAACTCGTCAGCCCACCAGTCGTTTCTGACTCTGCCCTGGGCCACTTCCCTCCCTTCCC